ACCCACAATATAGCTCAACAGTAGAGCACACATGCATCACATACAGCAGGCCCCTAGTTCAATTGTTGGTCTCTCCAGTTAAAAGGCTGAGGAAGCAGGGGATGGACGGAAAGACTCTTGGCTGAGGCCCTGGGGAGCTGCTGCCCATCAGAATAAAAAGCCCTGGGGTAGGTAGACAAATAAATTCAACCTGCTATAAGACAGCTTCTTCCTATGTGTCTAACAACAACTGCAAGCATCTCATGCAACTTTCTGCAAGTTTCACTCCATGTCCAAGAGACTGACCCATTAGGATGAATGGAGCGCTGCAACACCAACCTCAGCCAGCTCCTATCTACTTGCCTTCTTAAATGCAACCAGTCCTCAGGGTTGTCAATTTCCTCCACTTTATATAGAACACCGCAAGGAGAAAGATGGGGAGCAAAGTAGAAATAGCTGGCACTGTCTGTCATTCACTCTGCCTTGTGATGGCTTTGCTTGCCTTCTGCATCCAATGAGTCTCATACCTGTTACCACAGTAAGGCAACACCTGCCCTGACATTAAGCAACAGGAGCTGTACCCAGCAAAAGCCCTATAGGAGTAGCCTATGCTATAGTTTTTAATCTGACTCACTTCCCTGCATTGCTAAATGGCTCCATTCCCCACACAGACACAAATCCTATTTCCTACACCAACGTAGGATAGGAAGGGTGAGATAGACAAAACTTTCTGCTCCTCATAGTGAGGTTTTCTTCAAGCCATTCATTATTTCTCTGAAGAACTACCCTACCATAACATTCACCTGCCTCTCCCACTGTATGGCTTACTACCAATTAATCAGGTCTCCAGTCAAGGCACCCTATTAGCTGGATGTACAAACAAATTTCATGCATGCTGAGCCTTGCAGGTTTGGCCAGTTGCTTACCCTCTCCCCAACAATCTCTTCCACAGCATACATGCCTTCATCGCACCACTGAGTGAGGTGCTTCCAGAATATGCAAAAGGGCAGCAACATTTGCTGCTGGTTGAGGCATATTGCTGAACCAATAATATGCAAGAGAGGAATATTAGAAGCAATTGAGTCCTGACCCAAAGTGAAGGGACTGGAAGCAGTGCCTGATGCTGCAGCATTGCTGAAGGTAAGCAGGTGCAGAACTAATCAGTCTTTCCAATGAGAGGCCCTCTGAGGTTCCACAGAAGAACAGGATACAATTATTTTTTAAAAAAAACAACAACAACACACTCGTATTATGGATTTTGTGTTTGCATCATTTTAAAAAATCAAAATAAAAGGTTCATTAGAAACATCATTTAAGAGCAGAAAGCTATTGTCACACCTACATCCTAAGTCACCCTCACCCCCCCTGTTTATACCCTGCATGGTATGTCTTTGCTAGCCTCTTCACAATGTCACTGATGTGCTGCTTCTAGTTTCATTTAAAATACCTTTTCAGAATCTAGGATGAGGCATAAAACTGGCATAGATCCGTATTTCATTTCATTCTCCCAATATGTTCAGCTAATAGACTATCAATGGCTTTTCACCATGTGGCTAAGACAATGCTGAATACCACCACCCTCTTACCTTTCCTATGAGCTTTCCCACAGTCAACTGGCTGGGAAACGAGTGCAAGACTAGATGGACCTAAGGCAATAACTATGGAATCGCAGGGGTGGGGGTGGGCCTTCACTGCTCAGAAGCAATTTGCACCCAAGCTTTCCACAAGCAAATTCCTATCCACTATATCACACCGGTTTCATTTCATTCTATGGTGTACTCAGTGGGTTTTACCCAATGCTAGTCCTACTCAGAGCAGCTCCACTGAAATTAATGAACATGACTAACTTGCACCCATGAATATTAACCAGTCTCCTCTGAGTAAGACTCAGTTGGCTACAACCCAATAGAAAGGCATGTGTCAACAGGCTGTCCCACAATTTAGGCTTCCAGACCCAGATATCCTAGACTTAAAAAATAAATAAATCCTGATGTGCCCTGGGCAGCTGTGCTTCTCAGAGCCTTGACAACTGCTTAAGTATGCATCTCTGAACAACAGACCCTGGCTACTGGAAGACACATCCTTACCCCTGAACTGTTTCTATGCCAGCTGGTTATTATAAGAATGACTGTTTAAGAATTGGTGGCAGAGTTTGTTGGGTTTTTCTCCTCTTCCCTCCTTGTCCCGTTCCCCTTGTGTGTGTGTTTTTGTTTTGTTTCAGATTGTAAACCTGCAAGCTGGGACTGAATGTAAGCCACTCTGGGAGCCTTTCTGGCTAAAAATAAGGGTTAAAAATCCTCTAAATAAATAAATGCAGGCTTCCTAGGCATTGACCAGGTGGCTAGAACAGCACTAAACATGACTATGCAAACAGGTTTACCAAAGGGGGGGGGGATAGAGATATTTCCTGTCCTTCACCACCATCTCTCTGCCAAACCAAAGGAGCTTTTAAGAAAAACACACAAAATGAGCCATTAGTTACCAACAGCAGGAAACAAAAGCCTGTCTAGCGCCCATCACATGAATTAAAAAGGGGGGGAGAGAAAAGGAAGAGTCAGCAAACTCCACCAAGCAATTCCAGCCAACCTCCAGTGTATGGTACACTACATTACCAAGGAGTCAATGCATTCTGACATAACAGCTGTACGCATTGTTACATTAATTAAAATAAAAAGGCTAACCCACATCCCAGGCAAGCGATTTGCTGAACCCTGCCAGCATTTCCTCAAAAAAATGATATATAAATTTAAGGAGCAAGTGGACTGGTTATAACCAATACAACAGTAGACTGGAGGGGTTAGGGGAAGCATGTGAGAAAACAACCGCCTCTGTTTGAATTTTTTTTTTTAATTCTCTCTCTCTCTCTCTCTCTCTCTCTCTCTCACACACACACACACACACACACACACAGAAGAGAGAGAGAGAGAGACAGAGACAGAAGCCCCACGCTATAAACTAGGAGAAAGCACACAAAGGAAGTGGCAAGAGGGAGAGATTACGTCAGCCCTCGCCTCAATTCATAAATGTGAACCACAGAACAAGGCAAATTCTAAACGGCCCTCCCTCTCAGGGATCCTGCTTAAAAAAGGGAATGCACACACATAGAGTCAGGGCTTAAAAATATGCTACTAAACAGCACACGCTGATGCATCAACTTTCAGTAGCCACAGGGAGGGGGGTGGAAGAGAGAGAGAAACCCCACAGTGTAATCCTAGTGAATTCTATCCTGCAGCCAGATCAAATAACATTTGAAGAACAGCCCGCCAAGCTCACAGAGGCTGCCCAAGCAGAGTAACAATAAACACTGAAGAATCCTAGATTGAAGACACACACACAGGTCGCAGGGATTTGTTACCAAATAGCACACTCCTAAATTACATGAGGGGAAAGAGAAGAGAGAAGGATCCAAATGGAAATCTCCTAATTCCCTAGCTGCTGTTAAAGATCTTTTCTTTTTATTTTAAAAAAAGGGGAAGAAGATATCTGTGCAGTGTAATTTCTTACTAGGCAACTGGGGCTGTTTTGAAAAGTATGGACTGCCTTTAAACAGCAATTCAGCCCCCACCCCACGAATTGCAGAGCTGGTTGCAATCCTGGAACTAATTGCCTAGAGATCAATGCCTTTAACACTATAATTATGTCCCCCTCAGTTTCTAAGACTTTCAATCCTGCTTAAATTAACTTCTTTCCCAGAAATGCACAACCAGAAGAATATAGCATTTCTAACCAGACTTTTTTGTCCTCTAAATATTAAAAAGACCAGAAACATGTTAACAACAACAAAAGGATAAACAAGACTTCACAGAGAAATAATCCCTCCAGTTCTCTAGATTCCCTTTCTGCCCATGGGGCTCAGTCCCAGAGCAAGTGGATGGAAGGCTCCTGTCAATTGCCATTTGGGTTCATGTATCATTAAAAAATCCCACATGGCTGAAAGGAGGCCATCCAATCACACATACGCACAGCACCCCATGTAGGGCAAAGCCACATGCCCTCCAGAGAAGCTGAAAACAAAATCCCAATTGTACTGAACAAAAGCAGAGCTGGTTTCTGTCTCGGGAAACAAGAAGTGGTTGAGCGGGTCTCCCTGTCACATCAACTGAGAACAAAGTTGAGTCAATATTATAAAAAGGGCCTTTTAGACTGAGCTGGGCACCAATTAAAAAAAAAAAACATAAAAGGCATTCCAGTACACACTTCTGCTACACTCCAGCAAGTAGAGTGAAAGATCCCCCTCTACCCCCCCCATAAAACAAGAAAACCTGCACTGCAAACTTCTCTTGGATTTTTTAAAACAACAACAAAAAAGCTTAGCAAGCTTTTGAAGTTCCACCTAGCTTAGTACAACCTTTTGTTGTTGTTGCTAAACTTGTGTTGGAACAGAAAGGTACAAAAGTAAAAAAAACAAAAAAAAACCCTCATTTTTAAATCCCCTGACAAAAAAAGGGGGGAACTTGTAACCTTAAAGTGTTCTGGAACAGTGCCCTGGACCAATAATAGCTAACACAATACCTACCAAGCAGATCCAAGTTTCCTTGAAATTATTTTCTCTCCCCTCCTCAGCCCGCATTTCTAAGCTATTACAAATTAAGTGGAAGGAGTCAAGTGTTTTATCTACCCAGCTGGTGATATGTTTTTGTTGTTGTTTTTCTTAAGTTATTTTTTCCCCCTCTCTCAAGGCTGGGGAAATCCGAAGCCACACTCTAGAGGAAACTCAACTTGATTGTGATCTCTCTGTCTCCCATTCACACACAAACATACACCCTTCAATGTAAACATCACTTAGGCGATCCAGGGAGATGACCCCACGCTTCGGGGTGCGAACCCCAACCTCAAACTGCACATTAAGTTGCCTCATCTTCGCACAAGGAACCAAGATGTAAGCGAGTCTTGAGTGGGGATTCCCCCCCCCCAAAAAAAGAAAGACATGTGCGTGCGAGTCAGCCAGACCACCATCCCCACCCGCTTTAGCAAGCCCCCCCCCCACTCCCAGGCCAGGCGGCACACACTGGCTCACTCACCCCAGCCAGCCTTGGACTTTCCGCTCGGCAAAGAACAACAAGGAGGAGGAGAATTCCTGGAGATGCGGGGCCAAGGCAACCAGCCTGCAATCACAGCAGCTGTTTCAGTCTGACCCCGGCGGACCTCGAACTGCTTCTCCAGGGCACGCAGGAAAGGAAGAGGGGGCTGCTGCTGCTGCTACTGCGTTCAATCCCACATGCAATGCCCATGGAGGAGGGAGGGGGGAGGAAGAGGAAGGAAGGAGGAGGAGGAGAGGGGAAGAGAGAAAGAAAAGAAGGGGGCCAGAGGAGAGAGAGAGAGAGAGAGAGAGAGAGAGAGAGAGAGATATGCACTTGGCGAACAAAAGGAGGCCCCCGCTTCACTGCAGCGCCGCTGCTGGGCCAGGCAGTGGTGCGGGCGAGAAGAGGAGCAGCAGCAACGGCGGCATTGCCCGGGCCGGAGAAGGATCCCGACTGGAGGAAGCGGCTGCGGCGGCAGCTCCCTGCCTCGGCGCGGCGGGCTGCGCACCCCGGGCCCCTCCGCGGCACATCCACCAGCCGCCCTGCTTAGCTGCCGCTCCTCGGTCGCAGCCACCTCCACATGCCTCTGTGTGACCCAGTCGCTTTTGCTTTCAACCCAGACACCAGGAGAGGGAGAGAGAAGCACAGCCTCCCAAAGACAACAAGCGGCGGCGCGCGGGAAAACCCGGAGCGGAGTCCAGCAGCCTGGCGCTGCCTCCCGACCGGGCTCAGTGCAAAACGGCGGGCGGGCGGCCCGGCGGGGGCCACCGACTCGGAGCCAGCCAGCCCCCCGGCTCCGTGCTGACCAGGGCCAGTAGGATGCCTGGGCTCACGGGCTGCTCGACATCCTTGCCAATGTTGGGCGATGCGAGCGAGCGCGCACAGCTCCTGCCTCCCTTCCTAGATTTCTCTCCCCCCGCCCCAATCCGAGCCGGAACAGGGAGAAGCTGGCTGGGTGATTGATGGCGGCTCTTTAATAGCGTGGTCAGCTAGAAAATGCATCTGCAAGCAAGATATTAAAGAGGCAAAGCATCCCCGCGAGTGATCTGCCGCTGCTCACATCCGAGCGCGAGCGAGATGCAGCAGCAGCCCAGGAATATTAATGCAAAAGCAACCTTCTTCCTTCTCTCTCTCCCTCCCCCCCCCACCTTCCTGCTTCGGTTCTCACAAATGCAGATCAAACACTCACACGGCGTGGAGGAGACGCAGATCAAAAAGCAGAGAGGTGGAGGAACATTTAAAACGGCGGGGGCGGGGGGAGAAAAGAAAAAGGGACAAATAACGCTGAGGATGGGAAAGGCAAAAAATGCCAATTTAGTGGCACATTAGAGGCATCATGGCTACACAGAAGGATTGGGTTGCAGTTGATTCAACCAGTAAGCCATTTTGTTAAAATCCACCTACACCACCGGCCCCCTTTTTGCACGGGAGAATAAATATCCATCTGTCAGCGGACGCTCCCTTTTAACATTACATTGGAGAAGAACTACACCTAATGCAATGTGAGATGTACTAATGCAGGTGCACCCACACAGCCCATACCAGCTTTGTTTTCAAACAAAACATGGCATTGCACGGGAACAAAAAACCTTTCAACCACCCCTCCCAAACTCATTAATGCAATGATTAGAAAGTAATAAATACAATGATGGTTTTGCCCCTCCCCAAAATTATAGCTGCGTCCACAAACAAAATGCATTCCCCACACTGCAATGCACAGGTAACCAGAAAATGGAGGATCTGTGGACCACCACCAGCGCTGTGGGAATAGATAATTTAAAAACTCTGTCCTCTTTTCTTTTATTGTGATTTTTAGCTTCAGCTGTTTAATGCTACCTCAGTACTGTTTTTTAAATCCATAAAAGGAGGTTAAAAAGGGTGTCATGATCACTTTTACACAGAGTCATTTCAAATGCCAAACCTGTTCAGAAAAGGTTCATTGAAATTAATGCCCATGAGCAAGTTTGGTCAACTAATTTCACTGCATATTCTCTGAGGAAAACTTAGCTTTGAAGTCCCCCCACCAACTCCAAGTAATTTTCTGATTCTGCTCACTAAATGTCATGTAAACATTGTGTTCCATAACCATAAATAACTATAATCTGAAACTCATCTTTGCATTTATTCCCCAGGTTTAGAATTCCCATAAGGATACACCAAGAGGATGGGAAGGAAGAGAACATGCCACTGAATTCCACCCAAAATGCCCAGACAGCTGGTGGGTTACAGGAGCAACCAATTCACCTAAGCTAGTGCTCAGTATTTAGCCTAGGTATCCAGATTTCACATTTATTGTTTATTATTGACTGTATATTTATTACTTTAGCAGCTGGCATTTTATTTAGACTGCTGTACTCTCAAGGCCTTTGCTAGATTTTTTTTCTTTTAAAGGTCTGTACTTGAAGCTTTAATCTATTCTGCACCAGCGACAAGCAGCTGCCTAAACCGCCAACCCAGCTAATGAAGTATAACACCCTTTGCCACCCTGAAAGGCCGCCCTGTGATCAATACACTCAGAAAGGCAGCTTGTACTGCAAGCTCGGCTCCCTTGAAAGATCAGCCGCAGCACATTAGCTTCTCAATGGGAGCCCATCAGAGGGGAATGTGCTCAGTGAAAATAAGCTTCATAACCAAGAGGCTCAGTGATGGAACTGCACTGGCCAGAGCCAAAAAAAATCAATCCCAGAGTCAAGCGACAAAAGCCGACATTTCATTTAGCCCCTCTTCCAATTTTTTAATCAAGTGTGGCCTGCCACACAGCAAGCCACAGGAACGACAGATTGCTCCAGCCATGGCTTGATGTAGTGTTTACCTCCCAGCGATTCCAGGAGAATTCTCTCCCCGTCTTACACATATTCAGGCTATGTGAAAAAATGTGTCGTCAATCACCAGCATCATCATAAGTCTGCATGGCAGAAAACGGGCTGGTATGAATGAGAAAGCCTTCTGTAGTTGTACTCAGAAACTTGTATAGTTCTCCTGCAATGAATCTCAGTCTTAACCATTTCTACATAGACACGCACATACCTCTAGGACTCTAGCATGCCTTAGTCCAGCCTTCTTCATTATGAGAAAAAAAGACGGGTGGATGTGAACAAAACAGTTGAGGTGGAAACAGAAATGCTAAAGCTACTATTGCAAGGGGGGGGGCCTTTTCTGGACTCACTCTCATCAGCCCCAGCTACTATGGCAAGGGATGATGAGAGCTGTAATCCAACAACTTTGAAAGGGCCACCAGTTCCCCATCCCTGCACTAAGGAATGACCTTTCTTAAGTGTGACAATGGCTCATCAGATGTCACAGTCACATGGCAATATAGCACCTCACCCCCTTTAGGAGAATCTTGAAAAATGTGGGGCATGTCACGAGGTGGTGAGTTTGTGTTCTCCCTACTTGCCTACAATAAGGTAAAGCATCCAGATAATTCCTTAGGGGCCTGGATCCACCCCCAAACTGTGCTCTCATTTCCTGAGAGAGACTACAGAATAAAAGGGGACAGCTTTTAACAAAGGATACTCTACTCAGCTATCTCCGGTCAGGAACACCTACCCTGCCACCTGTCTGTCTGTTAGTGTCTCCATCTTAATATTAGCTTCCCTGAAATGCTTGAAACTATTATTGACCATTTCCAGTAACAACTAAACTGGACCAAACACATCAGCCAGAAGAAGTGAATGCTACATTTATTGGATCCCTTTCTGGTGCAGAGAACCATGTTGGCTCAAATACCAATACAGGCTTTTCCAGTAGCTACTGCAGCAGTCAAGTTGGTAATCAAGGAGCAGTGTGAATGCAGCCCCTTGTGTTATCTTGGTCAATGTATTTAAGGTGGTATTTTTGAGGGAAAAAGCTCTCAATTTCTTACAGCACCTTCATGACTCCCTAATATTACAATGTTCCTTTCCTTCTCTCGGCTCAAGTGTTTGAAACATTGCATAGGTTCGAGAGACACAGTCTAAATTGAGGATGCACAGGGAAGAATGGTGCATTATAAACTTATAGTCTTAAGCAACATTGTATTTCCAATAGAAAAGCAGATAATAAGCTTAGAAGGATGAGAAAGCAGCATACATGACATCTCTAGACAGTCTCACAGAATTGTTTCTTAACAACATTATATTACTAAATCGCACTTCTATGGCCACACTTGAAAAGTGGAATGACTTGTCAAAAGAGGTCCATCTCATTACTTCTCTGATGGCCCTTCTGCTGGTGTTGCATTTGGCCTGTCAAGGTATGAATCTCCCTGATTTGTTATTTGTTTTACTGTATCCTCTTTGTTTATTTTATATTTTATTGTGGGCTACAACATGCAGATTCAACTGTAAGCTGCCTTAGAAGCAAGGTAAAAAAAAGAGAGACTTTACTCAACCAACAAACAAAAATTGAAATTTCCTCCCCATGTCAGTTCTAGAAAGAGAAAACAGAACTGTCAGTGGAGATGCAGGATGGTAATAGTGTCAGATCTTGCAAACTGTCTCTCAAGCACTGTATGAAGCACATGCACCAAATCTGACTCAGCAGATTTACACCCTGAATTCCTGCAAACAGCTCAAGATGGCATACATGGTGGTACCACCCAATTTACCTCAACAACAACTGGTGAGGTAGGTTAGGCTGAGAGATCATACATGATGGCCAAAGGTTATCCAGACTTCATGCCTGAATAGGCAACTGAACACACACTTCAATTCAATAAAGTGTCTTCCTAGTTTGGCATTTTAACTGCTATACAAAACTGGCTCCCTGTAGCACTTAGATGTGAACCCATTACTATTTTAGATTCAGCAATGATGTGAATTGACATTTGTGCATCTAAGGCTATGTGCACACCGTGCATTTAAAGCACACACACACCCTAAAGAAGCCTGGGAACTGTGGTTTGTTAAGGATCCTGGGAATTGGAGGTCTGAGGTGGGTAAACTACAGTTTCTAGGATTTTTGGAGGGGTGTGTGTGTTTTAAATGTGTAGTGTGTGTACACAGTCACAAAAGTCAAAAAGAGGCAAATGAATTAGGAATCCAGTCAATTCTTCAAAGATTTGAACAGATTTCCACTTAAAATTAGTTTAAAATTAAACCAGCTGCAAGCAAGGGCAACCTGACTAAAAAAAGGATCCACATTCCTCAGAGTATCACAGAAGAAATAAATCATAGGAGAAAACATCAACAGACTAAAGTGGTAGATCATATAATAGCTAGGGGTGTTTATGGTTAAACAGCAATACCCCTTAAAACACATGCATGCTTGCATGCACGCTCACACAATCAGCATGACTGCCTGATGCAGAGTAAAGGCCACTCCCAATCCTGAGCAGAAAGAAATCCAGGCCGTGTTTCAGTGCGGCCTCCATTTATCAAAACAACCCTGTCATGTTGAGTACCATTAACAGATAATGAAAGGAGACAAGGGATGCAGTTACAAGCAAAGCACTCAGCCTTGTACAGGCCTAAGCATGCAGCCAAGTGAGCTGACATCTGACTTTATTATAAGCATTATAATTAAATAGAATACCTAGTTTAAGTAACATTAAGGTTGTGACACAAACCAACAAAAGCTGGGGAAATTCAAAGTAAAGCTTTGACACACTGTCATTAACTCCTGCTATTTGTAGGAGAGGAGAGAAAGAGAGAGAAAGTGCATTTTTGAATAAGATAATGTGTGTGTTTGAGAGAGAAAATAACCTAAACAGGTGAACACAGATTGCTTCAACGACTGAAAAGTCACCTATAACCTTAAATACTCTGTATGCTTGATATGTTTGCTCCCTGGTTTTCAAACCTAGGCTTCCTTGGAAGTTTATCAGGGGTCCCTCAACAAAGAACCTCTGTAAATGGAAGGCAAGCTTCTCTGAAAGACAGCTTGCCTGTGATCAATCGTCTTCACTTGGGATATGCAGG